GGGGACCTCTGCATGAATCTCTCCTCGCTCTCCGTTCTCTGTCAGTTTTCTCATTCCAGTTGATGCTTGGCTGGGTTCTTTATCTCTTCATTTGATGTTTTAGGGTTTCAGGATTGTTGTATTCTCTGTTTGGCTTAGTTTTTCCGATCTTTGCTGTGGAGGGACGGCGTTGTGCTTCTGCCTAGAGGGCCATTTTGCTGGAACTCCTCCTAAGCTCCAGAAATTTTCTACTTGATTTTTTTGTTAGAAATCTTCTTGAAAATACTTTCCAGTATTTTTCCTCTAATAGCATGTTCAGAACATCATTTAACCAAGTCAGGACCATCAGCCTGCTGGTTACACTACCACACAGGAGATAATTGGCACTTTGGCTTTAATCTGAATGCATCCTAAAATCATACATGCAACTTGCTTTCTTAAAACAAAAAATCCTCGAAGTCCATTTGCTTTCCACCATTTTCCTTCAAGCCTTCTTACGCATCTGCTTGCATCACATTTGCTAATACTACATTGACCAAAGTCATGTGGCCTTGCTCAGATTCAAGAAAAGGAAAACGAAACTTCATTTCTTCAAGGGAGGAGCAGCAAGTCACATTTCAAGAGGGCATGCCAACAGGGATGGGAGAGTTTTATTATGGCCATCTTTGCAAATAATCTGCCATACTTTCTCATGGCCAATTTTCAGAGTTAGAAATTGGTGCTAACTTACTTCCAATGGTCTCCAATGAGTTATGATTTTGTTTTTAAAATTTTTATTTTTAATATAATTATGAACTTACGACATTTTACATATCCAGCGTGCTTTGATTATCGTTCTTTTTGATGCTCCTAAATTATCCTACTTCATGTTGTTGCCTATGTCTTTTTGACATGCTCCATTTACTTTCGAATAACTCCCTTTCTTTCTGGGCACAGCAAGATGTCCCAGGCTAGTATTGTATATTCCCTGCCCCAAATATGGACTTGGCCATTCCTCCAAGAAAGCCTCATTCCAGACCTGGGTATGCTCATTGATACTGGAATGTCATTGTCTCTAGCTTTTTCAGTTGACAGATCTTGCAAATAGGCTTTTGATTTTTTGGAAGGAGGAGGTAAATATTATAATTGAAAAAGAGGAAGACCTTCAGTGAGATGGATTGACACTGGCTGCAACAGTGGCCTCAAACATAGCAACGATTGTGAGGATGGCACAGAACCAGGCAGTGTTTCGTTCTGTTGTACTAAGGGTCGCTATGAGTCAGAATCAACTCGACGGCACCTAACAACAACAACAAATATTATAATTAAGAAGCAAAATAATGCATTCATACTGATATTTCAAATTTTGCATTTGGAGATTATAAAAGTGCTTTTTAAAATATTGTACAGTGTTCTACAAACATGCTATCATTATTTAGATGTACATATGAAGACATCTTTGTCTACCCTTTTAGGGATATTATTATCTCTCATCTGATGGAAAGAGAAAAACGATGCTCTGCTTGGCTTGTGGACGATCCATGAGAGCAGAGAAGGGACTGAAACAATTGCTACCAGGGGTCCCATTCCCCTGTGCCTCCGGCTCTAAGACACAGAAGCCCTTCTCACTAGGGCCCTTCAAGGTCATCACTGTGGCCAAGGTGTGTAATGATCTGAGCTCTGTTAATGCATGTGTGGTAACAGTTTGCAAACTTTGATGCATTCATTATCTGCCTTGCACTCAAGTTCGTCTCCACTCATCCAATTCATCTTCCTCGATTCACCTTTACCATTCTATCTTCATTGATCTCCTTTTCCCCATTGTAATTTAAAATACACTTTCTATTAATAGTTCAGTACACCCTTTGAAGTTAATCGGGCACTTCTGCTGCTTTAATCATCTACTGACACCTTTCACTGCTCTCTGTGTTGCTTTTAGGTGAGGAAATAACTGCAAATCTTTACTTAGTGGAGCAGCTTTTTTGCCTCTACTCACAGAGTAAACTCTTTTTTACTAGCATGGAACATTTCAGGGAGAATTTGACATGTTGTTGCTAATGACTGTTCAGGTTCGGTGCCTGAATTCAAGCATCCATGTCTAATACTATTTACAGCTCATGGAGAATAAATCTCTGCACTCTCCTGTGATCTTAATTTAAACTGGCACCGGTTTAAAAACCCTTCCCTTCAAGTTTAGAAGTGAGAAGACCTAAGGGAAACTTACACACCTGTATACAAAGGGGCAATTCCTGAGAGGTGAGAAACTTTCAGAAGATAAATCAGCAAGTGGTGTGCTCCTCAGGGCTTACCTACCCCATTCCCACATTACTCCTCTTTCCCCTCCAACCCCAATGCACCTGGGGGAGGAGGAGCAGGTTAAAATGAATATCTGCTGAAACTGTAACTCTGAAGGAGAAGGGAATACAGTCCACTGGGGGAGCCTGAAGGCATTTGGCTTTGTTTTAGGATCAGAGGAGTGTTGTTTAGGAGGTGGTATGAGCTAATTAGAAAGGAGCTTAAATGTATTAGCATCTCAGATAGAGCTTTTTCCCTCAGAACAGCATTGGGGTAGGGATGGGAAGGGAAAGGGGAAGCAGGGTGTTTCATACTCATTACCTTGTGGTTAAGGCTGCCCTCATTCCCCTACCTCTTCATCAATATCTGCTAGCATGGTGATATCATCCTAAAGTTAAGAGAATATCTGTAATGTTGGTGTCCCACTACTTCAACCCTAGGCTGTCTCTGGCCCTGACATACTTCCACCCTAACTTCTGTCACTGGGCAAAATCAAGAGAAAACAACAGAAGCCTAGAAACACAAGCCAGAGGCCCCAAGTCACCTAGTGACTCCGTGGCAGGGCTGGGAATAGAACCGAAGCATTCTGACCCAGTGTCCTTCCCACTACAGCATAATATCTATAGCATATGAAGTGAAGATTTAAAAATTTAGATGTTATACATATGGACACATACATTTATTAAATGAAGAGACTAAAGTACACCAAAATGACAAAGTTAAAAAAAAGTTCATGAAATGTATGATTTTTTTTTTTCAAATCAGGCTGATTTATCCTCTTACGAGGCTGAGAAAACTCTAAGTTATTATGAAGGACTCCTATTGTCTTCATGGACGAAGACTTGCACACGAGCTGTATCTCATAGTGGTGTGGCAACTCCGCACCAGAAGGCGGTGAAAATAATTGCGTACAAAAACGGGAATGGATATCATAATGGAAAGTTAATTGTGGCTGGAACATTTCCCATGGTAAGTGACTATCACTTAAATGCTGCTTGTATCCCCTCAGAGATAATGATAATGGTTACTCTTCTTACAAGAAGAAAGCAGTGGGATTGAGTGATAAATATCCCTGGCCAGTTTCACCAATTTGAGCTGATGAGATCAAGATCTTTGTTTTGTTAAAGACATTCTCTTTTATTGTATCTCTTTGGATGCAGCCAGAATATGGTTTTTAGACTGGCTCCAGAGCAAAGATGTATAAAAGAACGGGGAAAGAAAAGATAACAGATTTTCTTAGTTCTCGTGATAGAGTGCCTTTTTCTGTCTTCCTTCCCATGTCTGCTTCTAGTTGCATGTTGTCTGAATATTCTAAGAGATCCCACCTCCTTTATCATCTGGAGAATCGGAGCACTTATTTGTTGATAGGATGTTTTACTTCATTTTCAAATTGGAGAAGCAGGTTGTGCTGGGAGGGACCTTTTGGTCTCTGTCACGGAGACTGCTCCCCATAGATGTAGGAAGGGAGGACCAAGAAGTCCCAGCATTTTCCTCCATTGCTTGGTGATTATATTGTCTATACATTCTGGCTAATATTTTTAACAACATATTTTAGAAACTATGTTAAATGTCATTAAGAGTTATCTTGAAGACTTCCTTGCAAACACACATACCCATTGTCTTAGTTATCTAGTGCTGCTATAACAGAAATACCACAAGGAGTGGCTTTAACAAACAGAAATTTATTTTCTCACAGTTTAGGAGGCTAGAAGTCTGAATTCAGGCTGCTGGCTCTAGAGGAAGGCTCTCTCTGTGTGTCCACTCTGGGGGAAGGTCCTTGTCTCTTTTCAGCTTCTATTCCTAGGTTCCTTAACAATATGTGACTTGCTTGCTTGCTTGCTTGCTTGCTTGCTTAATCTGCTCTTTTATATCTCAAAAGAGATTGACTTAAAACACATCCTACACTAATACTGCCTCATCAACCTAACAAAAAAACCCCATTCCCAGATGGAATTATAACCACAGGTATAGGAGTTAGGATTTACAAGTATTTTTGAGGGACACAATTCAATCCATAACACCCATTCACTCACCTCTTTGGTTGAATACAAATAGATGTTTTATTAAGACATTGTTGTTAAATGGACTAAGCAAAGCACAGAAGTTAGCAACTCCAAGATTCACCCTCAGCTCCTTAGTTGACCTTTGTGGTCTTGGGCAAAAATATTAACCTTTCAACCTGTTTTCCAATCTGCGAAATGGAGGTAATACTATGTGTCAGTTCTTGGTTTGAAACTTAATCACTCATTTATTTTAAAGCAGTTGGTAAATAAGAAGTAGTATAGCAATTTTATGCCTTATAAAGTAACAAAATTGAAAATGGATTTCTAAGTTGAACATCTCTTAGAAAATACTCTGATGTTAAAACGTATTAACATATGTCAGCTGCTGTGTTAAAATTCTGGAGTTAGGAATTTTCCAAACTGGATTGGACTAATGTTGTGAGATTAGGTAGGCCAATCTAATGTCAAAAATGGTCTCTAATCAAAGAACAATATCAGTAGTTACTCAGCTTTCTATTTTCTCACAGGATTTTCTGTCTTTTAAAATGACAAGTTCTTCGTGATTATTCCCAGTTCTATTACAATTTCCTCTCAGTTCCTCACAGTCTGCATTGTCTAGCTTCTTACAGAGTGCACAGAACAACTTGGTCTTTCCAGAGCAGCCTCCAAAGTGTATACTAAAGATGGAACCACAATTCTTACTTTGCATGATTTGGTTTTATGGGCTCTTCATGAATCCTTTATCCAGAAAGACTCTGAGGATCGAAAGAAACATGCAGCCCCTGTTGGAACAGAAGAGGCAACTGTTAAAAGTATGGAAGCTTGGTTACATTCTGCAGGAGTTAGCTAGTTCTATTTATATTTAATCATAACAAAGTTAAAAATATGACTTTCATTCACTCACCCCTTCTAGGATTTCAAAATCGTGTGAAGCCGCTTCATTAAATGATCCAAGAGTATCAATGAGATTCTCATGTTATTTTTACCTTGCAGAATAATAAGAAAAATAAAAGGTTAATGAACTTTCAATAAATATTAGTACTCTCACAAAAATCTTGTGTAAATTTTGGCTTTACCACTGAAACAATAAATAATTGCATTGAATTAATAAAATATTAATAGTTTAGCTACTTAATGAAACATGAACAGCTTTTGTTCTCAAACTCAGTACCAAAACCAACTTAAGGAAGTAGGGCTGGATCAATGCAATTTTTTTCCCTACCATTAGAAGAAAAGATATCCTCTCAATGCCTCCTGACCTCCAGTCCTGTTCCTGCCCATCTCCACTTCTCCTATAAACTCCCAGAATCTCCACTGAATGCCCTTCAGTTGTAGCACTGACCACATTGTATTATAATCATCTATTTACATCTATGTGTGTCTCTTTGGGCTATGTACTACTTGAGTGAAGGGCTGTGTCCCAAACGGTAGTTTGTTAAATGAAAGGAAGTCTTGCTAGTAGTGATTCAGTAGCATTACCTCAGGGAGAGACCATCACACTATTATTGTATTGAGAGGTATGGTGTAGAGGTTAAGAACTTGGCTTTTAGAGCCAGAATAAAAGCAACTGCTATTGAGTCAATTCTGACTCATAGGGACCCCATGTGTGTCACAGTAGACTGTGTTCACCAGGATTCCAATCCTAGCTCTATTACTTGCTACATGAATGACTCTGGGCAAGTTGCTCAACCTCTCCGTACCTCAGTTTCCTCATCTGTAGAATGAGGACACTAACAGTCACTTAGAAGCCAGTGGTGGTTCAGTGGTAGAATTCTTACCTTCCATGAGGGAGACCTGGGTTCAATTCCTGGCCAATGCACCTCATGCACAGCCACCACCTGTCTGTCAGTGGAGGCTTGTGTGTTGCTTTAATGCTGAACAGGTTTCAGCAGAGCTTCCAGACTAAGATGGACTAGGAAGAAAGGCCTGGTGATCTACTTCCAAAAATTATCCAGTGAAAACCCTGTGGATCATAAAGTCTGATTCCCAACAGATCATGGGGACCAGGCAGCATTTTGTTCCACTGTGCTTGGGTCGCCACGAGTCAGGGGCCAACTTGACGGCAGCTAACAACAACAATAATCACTTACTTCATGGAATTGTTATGAAAACCAAATAACCAGATATGGAATATATGTAATATATGTATTACATGTATATTCATACCTCTTTTTGTATAGATCTATACACACACACATGCACGTGTATAATCACTTAAAACAGTGCCTGATTAACATCTCCCAGACACCCAATGACTGTTAGCTATCATTATTATGTGTAGGGTATTATTTCTTTGTTTTCTATTGGGTTTTTAAAAATAACTGTATGAACATTTAATGCCCAGCTGATCTCTAAAGCATATAGTTAGCATAGTGAAATATCTAATCTCTAGTTTCTTGGAGATTATAATCTCAAACTCTCTGCTTTCAAATTCTTACTTAAAACTTGGTTGAAAGTAATGTTATTCATGCAGGGTTACCAAAAGGGTATAGCCATCCCTTTTCCTCTGTATTCTAAAGGTTGTCCTTGAATCAGACAGGGACATTAGAGCATTTGTTGTTATGCCATCAGTTTGTGCTGAGAAACTTTAAAGAAATAGCCACTGAAACTCAGTAGCATGCTTACTGTGGAGGTAATATGAAACAGTGGTTAAGAGCACAGTGTTTGGAGGCAGGTGGCCTGGATTCTAATCCTAGCTCTGCCACAACCTAGCGTCAGTTACCTTATCTGTAAAAGAGGGATGGTAATAGCACGTACCTCAGAGTATCAGTTTGAGAGTTACATGAGATGGTATATACGGATGATGTCTTGATAAAATGCCCAGCACATAGTAAGTTCTCAATTAGTGTTAGTTTCTATTTCAGGATGCTATTATTTAAATTACAAGTAACTCCTTTAAAAGAACGTTCAAATGAATTTCTCTCAGGTCTCAGGACCAGGAGACATGTGTCTTCTGAGAAATTTGTCCTTATATTTGGACTGTGTCAATCCTGAAATTGTGTTTTCCTCTTTGCTTTGGTCATTAGAAGGCTCAGAACCCAAATTGTGCTTTAGCTTCAGCAAACAACAACAGTGTGCTATTCATTCCCATTTCATAATAAAAATAGTAGCTGACATTTATTGGATGCTTGCCCAATAAAATAGGCCAAGCACTATTTCTCTGAAGCATTTCACATTTTTCTCCATTTAATCTTCCCAATAGCAGGAGGAGATGAATACAAATATCCATTTAAAAGAGGAGGACACTGAGATGCCTTATCTGTGACTTTAGTCTATCCCTCTACCCCTTTTCAGCTTTACTTGGTGTTCTTATCTCTTTATTTCACCCCTTCTTAGAGTAGATCTTTTTGGCAAGCTACTTCAAATTTCTTTCAGAATCAAGCAAGGTGTAAGAAAGAAACTTACAATAAGATTGGTTCAAATTCTTTGGCTGCATATGGACTTTCTGGCATATGTTAGCATCTGGTTTGGGTATTGCATGTTTTAATCAAGTTGTTAATGAAGAATAAAATATTTTGAATAAAGAAATGAAGTCAGGAAGCAAATTTATTTTTCATTGGATAATGGTGAATGTGTCATTTTTTTCTTAGAAAACCTGAGAACAAAAGTGAAAAACAAATCATTTTCAAAGTCTGTGACATCTGATAGCTTGAATGGTATAGACGAATCTTTGCTTGACCTTGTCCTCAGAAATCCTATTGCCATCTGGGTGTCTTGTGGTGAACCATTTCTACCTCTGAAAGGTAAGATTTTTTTGGTTTTTGCTTTCTTTCAAGCAAGTGTATGAAGGGAGAGAAAAGTAAATTTTGTTACCATAAACAAATGAATTAAATGTGTATAATGTCAACATAATAATATCATATTTATTCAAAGAACAGGAGGTTCATCAATTAACATGTGCACAAGGATAGCTATATCTCCCATATTTTCACAATTGCCTGTTTTTTTTCGTACTGGAATGGAGTATTCTGCGTGGAAAATGTCTAATTTAGTTGACAAAGAGATCTTTGGTCTATAAGACTGAGAATAATGGTATATATTAGAAATAACAAATGAGTTTAATTCCCACTGAGGATGACCTGTCTGCACGTTTTCATTTTTAAGAATTGCACCCTTTAGGCAGTAGGTGGATGTTTAAAAAATGAATGGTTCCAAGCCAGGCTTTCATCACCTCCAAATAGTTTGTGGAAGTGGCAAATGAAATATGAGCATTGCATATGGTAAATCTATATAATAAAACAGCAGTGTTTGTCTTCTTTCCCCCCTCTATTCATAAAGAAATGCCTCAAGTCCTGTCATCTTTCAAACAAGGTTTCTTTTAATGACCCTTACTTTTAATTACTTGTTTCTAACTGAATCTATTTCTTGGAGCAGAAAGTTCTTTATAAATTATTGGCTTGCATGATAAATTACTGTTGATAAAAGAATGTAAGATAAATATGCATTTTTATTCTTCTAGCTTTGGAGAAAGCAGAAAAATTGACAAAACAGAACTGGATAAAAAAGGACAAAATTTTGGCTGATCTAGATACTATGAAACACAAAATGAGGCAGTTAAAAGGTCAGTATGAACTAAATCAAGCATCACTAAGTTTAATTCTACGTATAATCTCTATTTGTTGATAGTTATTTTCTATCATTAAATACCAGGTATTTAATTAATGTGCACTGTATAAATATTGTTACAAGACACTTAGCAAGTTTAAAACCTAATATTATATTTTCAATATTTTATTTATATTTGTACATTTTATATTACAATTAATATCATATGCCTTATATATGTATTAAAAAACTTGATGGAGGGTGTCTGGACCATGTAACCATCCTATTGGTTTTGAAATAGTCCCTGAACTGATGTTTTGTGGTATTTAGAATTAGTTTTTAAACAGACTTACTGTCATTACTTGGATATTGCTGGAGAAGAAGGTCATATACAATCTGAGTGAGGAAGTAATGAAATCTTCAAAGGTCAGTGTCATTGTCTCAAAAAGACTTCACCTTGCAATCCAGCATAAGATATGCCACTCAGAGTCAAGGTGATCAATTGGCAATATTTGTCCTCTTCTTCCATTCTCTTTGTCATATAATCTTAGGTTCCTGACCTTATACTATTCCAGCACTGTGCTATCAAATGGTTCTCTGGGTAGAAACAATGTATTATGGACTTTAGTCTGGCCAGGAATACATTTCAGGTTCTGTGATTGCCATAGCAGGATTTCAGTTCTTGAGTACATATATTGACTGGTGTCGAAAGCATATGACTTTTTCTTCAATCAATAATACAACTAGTCCTGAATGCAGTAGACAGAGCTCTAGTTTGAAATAGCTATTACTATCCAGTTATTACCAAAAGAATGATGTATGTAAATGAAAAGTTATCTACTACTACTACTGACCTCCAGTCTCCTACTAGACATTTTCACTTAAATGTCCTATAAGCATACCAAAAACTAAAGTTACCATATCACCCCCACACCAATCCCTCCCTCATCTCCTCTAGAAGTGTTGGTACTACCTTCTACCCTGGTGTTTCAACTCAGAAACCTGGGAGCCATCATTGGCATCTCCCTCTCTCTTACCTTGTTGCTTCAAAACTATTAATTTTATCTCAAATTCATTTTAACCCTCTTAATCACCACTATAATTATCCTAGTTCAAACTACTTTCATCTATTCCTTGGATTACACAACAATTTCTAACTTGTCTTCCTGCTTCTACTCTTGACGGTAGCTTTGACAGTATGCAGAATGTTGATATTCTTTAACAACTAGAGTTATCATGCAGAAATGCAAGGCTGATTATGGTACTCCAGGCTTAATATCTCTCAGTGATCCCTATTATCTTTAGGACAAAGCTGTGGCCTTAATGTGGCCGTATATGATTTGGTCATCAGCCAGCTTCTCTCTCTTCTTGCCCACTACACTCCACCCGTTTGGAATTTTTTTCAGTTGTTCAGACATAACAAGAGCTTCTCAACTCTGAGCTATTGCCTGCATTAAGTTTTCTCTGCCTAGAACTTGCCCCTCTCCTATCCTCCTGGATTGCTCCTACTCCTTCTGTGTTTTTCAGCTTAGTTGTTAGCTCTTCCCAGTAACATCCCAAGTCTGTGATAATGTGGCTGTGTCACACCCTAAATTTCCACTCTGGTAGGACTTATCACATTATTGTAATTATCTAGTCATGTGACTGCCTATCTTACGTTATGTTATAAATTCTATACTCTTCTCATTTATTCTCTGAATAGTTGTAGAATTATTGAAATAATGAATGAATAGAATTTCAACCATTTACTCCAATGAGTATTCTAATCTCTATCCCTGTATCAAGTTAAGTTACTAGAAAACAACATACTAGAAATAGCACCTGACAGAGCTGTGTTTTCTTCAGCTTTCATTAAAGCTAGTTAATAAAAAGGCATAAAATCCATTTGGTATCATCTGTAATATCACTGCTAAAAACAATGTCTGTTTGGTTGTTCGATGTCCATTCTGGAAAGAACCATTGAAGTAGTTTTTCTTAGAATTTAGTGCTTGGGTAAATCTTGTCTCTACTGACAAACTGTTATATTTTCTGCTATTAAATAAGAATAAAACACATGCTTATAAAATACCTACTCTGAGAAAGATCTTTTTCTAGCTTTTGGAATTATGAGGATAGACAAGACCAAGTCTTACCTCAGTTAACTGGCAGTCCCTGTTAGATTGTGAGCTTCTTGTGGGCTAGATGAAAGAGGAGGTATGGGAGATAGGAGTAGTTGCTGAACCAATTAGTTCCTATTATTATAGCCATTGATAAATGCAACAAATGTTTATTAAGCATATACTATGTATAAAGCACTGGGCTAAGTTTATTTTACATTTCATTTGGAAGCATGACCATTGCTAATATTAATACTAAAAACTACAAGGCTGTTTTGATTAAGTAACAAATTGCAAATATTTACTATGTGACTGTCACATAATAAATACTCAATAAATATTGGCATAGAGGTTCTTGAGAAGACAGCCTATTTTCCCAATTGGGGTCTTAAAACTTAGTACATGAAACTAAGGAATAGCAGATCAGGCTCAAACTATCACCTTTGTTACACATATGACAACACTGGAGCATTTCATTTAGTGTGACAGCTAAATGGGTCTGCTAACTGAACTCCCAAATTGGGCGGACCAGATGATTCTGAACCGGGTGGACTTCCTAGTAAGGGAGGGAGATGAGGGGAGTTGTCCAGGTGAGACTTATAGCATGAAAGAACAGGAAAGCACCCATGTTCTCTAGCTTGTGAGAGAAAAAATGGTGAAAATAGGCCAAGAATCCTCCATTTATTTTTTTACCAATTTCCAATCAGAGAAATCATTTGCAAATACCAGTGGAGCTCCATCCTTTAGAAAGAAAACATTAAGAGCAGAGAAGCATTCCCCATAAATAGTTAGCTATTATCATTACTACCCCTTGATCTCATTTAAAATAAAATAGGATATATGGTAAAATGTAATAAAAAAAATAATAAATAATTTGTTGAATACATTTTTTACTTGTTTTCAATTTCTGTTATCCCTACCTACATAAATAATGTTTGTTATGAAAACCTTTCTCAAAACTAAACCTTTTCTGATGACATGCCTTTTTATGAAAATTATAATGCAAAAGTGTATTCATTTTCTTAAGACCATTGGAAGCAAGTTGACAAAAAACAGATAATGCATAATGTTTTTCCCCTTTCCCATATTCAGTTCCTGGCTGTCAACAGTATAAATCATAAACTATTGCTGAATTCTCTTTAGTTGAACAAAATCTTAGTGTTCAAAATGCATTATAAATAAAATATATATTGAAATATTATCTGTAAGAATGTCATAAATTAATGTCTGTACTTTATGAATACAATTGAGTAAAAACTGTACTTAATGTAAATCTGTGTTATGTATTTTGTCAGGTACCACTGTGGGCTTCTCCAAAGCTTGTTGCCTAGTGACATTGTCATTGTAACTCATTGGTTGATTGATTCAATTATGTTTTCTCCACACCCATAAATTGCAATATGAATGCTTATTAGGTGCCTGGAATTCTGGTTTCCCTGAAAAGTCACCAGTAACTTTCTATTGCTGTTATTTTTATTGCTGGTGTATTTCCAAAATTTGAGCCACATCAGTACAAGTCCTCAGCAAGTACAGAATTATCTTCAAAGAGTTTTGTTCATAGACATAGTCTGAAAATCTGGACATTAAGAGCACCTTGACAGTAAAATTGGGACTCAACTTCATTTTAGTATTTTTATTATTTCATCAATCTAAGTGTTACTTTCTCAAAGAAGCCTTCTTTGACCTGTTAGGCTAGATAAGCTGCCCCTGTTAAATTCCTTCATAGATCCTGTAGTTACCTAATACAGCATGATGACAATAAATTATTAGTGTAACCATTTCCTTAGTTTCCCTTCCCCACCAAACTGTAAGCCCTTGAGTCAAGAAATTGATCTAGAACACGTTTGTATTTGCATCATCCAACACTGTGCTGACACAATGCTGGTGGTCAATGTAGGCTTCTGGAAGAAATATATAAAAGAAAGCATTATTTTTACGTTAGAAGTTTAAAGATCAGCATGAAGCTGAAAGCCGAGTTTATCTTCAACACCAAGAAAGAAAATGATTTCATAAGTGTGACTTTTTTTAACCTGTTTTTTAGCTATTTTTAAGTGGTCTAGTTGAAAGAATGTATAAATTTGAATCACCACACTTATTAAATTATGCCTATGATTCTTTAAAATGCAGTATTGCAATAAATATTTTCTCTTACGACAGCCTCTTAACATCATAAAGGGCACAGCAGAGGTGTCAGAAACTAGTCGTGTTCACAGGGTATTATTAGATAGAAAAAAAAGGGGCTCCTGTCTCTTGAGTTAATATTATTTTAGAAATACTTAATTCCCCAGGCCACTAAGCTAATTGTGGGGAAAAGCTTATTATTAGTGAAGAGAACAAAACATATGTTCCAAGACTGAAGGAGATGATGGGGACTATATAGGTCATGAATTCTATTTGACTAAATTACTGCTGAACCATGTCATGGATGAGAGGCTGGGGCTAGTGTGAAAGTCAGCATGTTATCTTTCTTTTCCATATTTAGAATATGTGCATCCTGGCTCTTTAAATTCTCAAGCTCCCATATGAAGAGGTATTGTTAGATATTACTACCTTAGGCATCTTTGCTTTTATGACATATTTAGTATTTTAGCCTATGCTTCTGGGTGGAATGATTTATGCATAGAACATGAATCCAATTTATTTGAAACCTGAAAAGTCTATCATCAGAAACAACATTTCCAGAGACTTCTTTCCTCAGGGCGGCGAGTAGCAGCATGTCAGCCAGCCACCATGGTTCCCACCAAAAGCCCTGTGCAGCCGGTGGTGGTGGAGGGAGGCTGGACTGAGCAGACTCAAGAGGAAATTGAACTCATGGAACTTATAAAACGTACAGAGGTACGTTCTTTAGGACTGTGGACATTAAAGACCCTGCCTCTTTTATAAGCTTTTTAAAGTGCAATACTGAATATTAAAATTATGCTATTAATATATTCTCGGCATCTGGTCAGTTATGACCACATCAGCATATGCCAAGCATTGAATTGGCATTTGGAGAGTAGCTATCTAAAAGACAGTCAGCTCATATGATAGTGTGTTTTGTTTGAATGGAGACCAGAAATTATGACCTTAGCAAAGAAGAGAAAAAGGCCCAGTGGATATGTACAAAGGTAATTATAATAAGTGTAGTCAAGTTGAGCGTTATGGCTTCACTGCTCATCACTCCTAAGGGTATGTCTCAATATGTAAAAAGAGCAAAGAGCAAAATACTAATTGCAATGGAGACATTCAGAAGTGAGGAATTCAAAAAGTGGTTTCAGTCCAATTGGTCAATCAGTCAGGATTGCCAGACATAAAAAAGTCGAGAAAAGAAAGGTCAGCTGTGGGAGAGGATTGAGGACAGAAACCTGGGAAAACTTTTTGCTTTGTGAAGTTTTTCATCAAAATGATATGTTCCTATTTAATAGGGTTTCTCTAATTCGTGAAATGTGGTCAATCTAAATCTTAACAGTATGCCCAAGTCAAGGTTACTAGGAAAAAAAAATGACATCTCTAGAAATACGACTTTTTGCCAAGCTAAGAAGGATAAATCACTGGCCAGGGAATGAGTGCAAAGCATTGAACTAGTACATGTTGAAGTAGGATGAAAAGCTGCCTGGCAGGGATCTGGCAACGTATAAGGGTTGCTACTGTATTTTAAAAGACAGTGAGTAAGGACTTAAACAACAGTCATGTTCACTCCCTTAAGCATTTCTTAGCTAAAGGAAATGATGTTATGATTCTAATTAAATGCTCATTTGTTAGATGCAGAGAAATCACTCAGTAGGAGAAAGACCATGCAGAAGTGCAGAAACATCTCTATTCATTTCTCCGAATCATAAGTGAAAGTTAAGTGCTATGCCAAAATAAGTGCTTTATTATTATTACTATAATTATTGTTATTATTATTGCCTTAGTGAGTCCTGTCATTGAGGCAAGAGTAATTTGCATAGAAGTCAGTGAAGGGAGAGGCTGATGCACTTAATGGTTGCTTCCTAAAATTTATTCAATATAATTTAAAATCATAAGATATTTGTCTTTTGTCACATTTTTCACATACACAGTAAACAGATAATTCACTGAACATGGAATTCTCTGGATTTTTCTTGACAGGCACACCTTTCTGAAGTTCAAGAAGTGCAATCCAAAAGAGGGTCTTCAGTTTCAACTAAACATATAGCAGTCAAGCACAGCAGCCTGTATATGCAACCCAACACAAAACGAGTATGGGTTTATCTAAATGGAGGTAGACCTGAAGATGGCACTTATGCCTGGGGCAAAACTATTTCAGAGGTAAATCTGTTGTGGAAAGAGAGTGTTTCATAGACCTAGGTTTCAATACCAGCTCTGCCATTTCTCGATTGTCCTGTCAGGCAAATTACTTTACCTCTCTGAACCTCATTTTCTCCTCTGTAAAATTGAAATAATACTTTTATCATGGGGTTGTTGTGATGATTAAATGAGCTTATATGTGTGACAGTGTGGAGTCCAATGCTGCCTGACACATGTGTGAATCTGAAAATGCCACTTGGCCAGCAGAGAACAATGACAAGAGTACCTACCAGCCGAACAGTACAGCCAAAGAGCAAAATCTATAGTTTAAAATATTTTTTCTCACCCATTTTCAACACAGTTCAGGAAAAAAAAAGATCCCCCCATCATAAATTATTTGCTACATATGTTCTATGTAATGAAAATAATAGTACTTACTAGAGAAAATCTATAATATTCTTACTACCCAGAGTCCTAGAAATCTGGAAAACTTTACACTTTTCAAAGTTAAAACATTGACTAAGAAAAAGGTGAGTAGGAGTTGATTTATTGTTTGCAATTTCAGGGGCGAATTTCTAAAATTTAACACTTTTCTTAATCTTTAAATGAAAACATTAACCAGTTGCCATCAGGTTGATTACAACTCATGGTGATCCCGCATGTATCAGAGTAGAACTGTGCTCCATAGGATTTTCAATGGCTGATTTTTTGGAAGTAGATCACCAGGCCTTTCTTCTAAGGTGCCTCTGGGTAGACTCAAACCATCAGCCTTTCGGTTAGCAGCCTAGTGCATTAACATTTGCACCACCCAGGGACTCAATGAAAATAATAAATGGATTTTATGGTCTTTTAAAAATTTTTTGACTGTGATATTTTTAATAGTGGTTTGGCTTTCTTATTTCCTGAAACGTTTTCTGGGATGAGAGGAAGTCACAAGAAGATGGGATTTGGGGAAGAAAGGGGAGGCAAGATGGTACAATAAACTCAATTAGAGAAGTCCACGAAGTTGATAAGGGCACCTAGAGTAGTCCTAAAATGCACTTAACCATTGTAACTAGAATTGATAAAATAGGGAAAGAACATGAAAATGATTAATACACAGATAAAGAGGAAAGCAGAGACAACGGAGAGAAGACATCCTGTCGAACTCAGGATAGCAGACTCAATAACATTGACAAAGATTACCTTTATCTGGTATATGGGGGAGTGAATCTTGATTTATGAGCCTCTCAGTGTAGCATATAAAAGATACTCAAAAATATTATTCCATGATCAATTTTTTTAATGAACTTTGAACATGAAGGGCACTGGATACTGTGAAGAATTCTAATTGATGTGTGTGAAAGATTGTGTAAACGTAATAGTGCTGTATGAACGACAGGTAACATCAGTAGCAGCGGTAGCAATAGCAGTAGGAAGAATAAGGTATCACATGGTCTCTGCTCTCATTAAATTAAATATTTCAAATTGGCAAAGCTTTTAGAAATACTTCCAAGATTTACTTAGGTTTGTAGAGAAATGGGCACTTTCATGTTAATGGAAGTACACTTTTTTGGAAGATGGTTTGGCTATACATTTCATAAGCAAATGAATTTACACAAAGATTGATAAGAACATTTATCATAGGGTTATTTATAACAGAGATAAATTAGAGCTAACTTAAACGATCATCGATAGGGAATTGGTTAAAAAATTACAGCAATCGGATGGAATATTATAACTCAATTAAAACCAACTTTTAGAAAAAATAACAACAATAAAGGTATTCAAGATATACTAAGTGAAAGAAGCTGAATATAAAGCAGGCAGAGTTAGATTTTAGATAAATACATGCACACACATAGAAAAAAGATTGGAAGGATTTATTGTTGGAGGTATTTATGTTACGAGTGATTTTTATTTTTACTTCTTTTTTGTGTGCTCCATATTTTTTATGATGGACATGGTTTACCTTTGTAAGAAAAATTTACTTGATAAGGAAGCTGACATTCGCCTTAGAGAAGTCCTAACCGCATGTGATAAAGGTCAAAGTAGTAGTACAGGCAGGAAGTTCAGTAGAAGTTCAGAGGAGGGGGCACCGTTCCCACCTGGGTGATGAAGAAAGGCTCCACAGAGGAGTCAATCATGACCTCCAATGGAATGGGAGAAATAGGTAAGATTCAACATCTTAGGCAGAAAAAGCGTGATCAAGGATGAGGGGCACCAGGCACAATGGTGCGTGTTGGAATGCATAAGGCATATTAAATAGGTGGTGCTTGGGCTGAGAAATAAGGAGAGATGACTGGAGAGATTGGTTGCAAGCATATGGTGGCCCCTTTATGCTCCCCCAGACTAAAGTATTTAAACTACTGTGTGTCTCAATAAGGAAATACAATGTGAAAGTAATATTTTTGGGAGATTAACATGGTCTCGGTTTGTAGAAAGATACTTAGGGAATGGCTAGAAAGTTTTGGGCATATTAGTTCTTCCTTTGCTTTATTTAATTTTTTTTTCTTTCAGTTCTCTTCCCTTTTCTTCTCCATGCTATTTTGTCTTTAGGGACCTGCATGAGATTCTTTGTGATTAGTTAGAAATGTATCCTTTCAGACTATCCGGCTGTAAAGCATACCTCTGGAGAATGGGCTGAGTGTAGAACAAATAGGCAGCGGGAAGAGGAGGGTTCAGATTTCACAGGGGGAATCTGGCTGATGACATAAATTCCAAAGAAGATCACGGTTTCAGTGGTTGGTACTTTTACCAGAAGAAAGAGAAACAGAGCACATTTCAAAGTGCTTCACTGTACCTTCTATAATGAAACCCCCAGATGGTATTCGAGTCCCATCCAATGCCGACTTTCCCTCAATTTCTTTCGCTGCTGTGGCCATTCTGGATGATTTAACCACTTTCTTCTCACCCACTCTTTGAACATTGCCAGAGCAACTCTCATCTCCAATTGGTATCGGCTCATCTGTCAACACACCAAGGCAGTTCTGTCTCCAGCGTTAGTGGCTCTTCCTTCAGGGCAAACCTTTGTCTCTGATTTATGATGGCTCGGGCCCCTTCTTCCATGGTCCTGAAGCATTTGTCTTCTCCCATCCCTGCAACATCTTTCTAATTCTAACGAATCTCAAAACCAATGCTCTCTTTTTCAGCCTGGGAACAATTCTGAATGCACGAGTGGGAGGTGAAAGAATGAGAAACAAGTCCTTTTGATTTGTAGAGGCAAGCACCTCATGCACACCGGGAATGTGCCGTAGTTTGTGATGCCCAAGTGCCCTGCCTGAGAAGACCTGACCTATGAAAACCAAACTTGCAAAGTAGACTGTAGTCAAGGAATTATTCAAAGAACATGTGTGCTTTTAATAGCAGCTTTTGTTATTGCAAAAATACAAACATTTAATTTTTATTATCCACGTTGAAGAAGATATTTGAGTAAATTTAGATATATTTGAAAAACTGAGAGTTAAGAATGCCTTTAAAGGTTATATGCTGAGTAGATATTTTAGAACCTAATTGTTCTGAAAATGCCTTATTTTCAGATTTCTAATTTATTTTTTAAAAATTTTTATAAACTCACTGACTTCATCTCATGTAAATACATCTTGTAGTGAAAACCCAGGGAAATAGCTATAGATTTAATTCATATTTTGCATTTAGTATATGTATTTAATAAACAATGTTCTTTTTTTATTATAAGACAAAAATATGATATCTATAGGAAAATAACTTTTTTGTGGTAAAATAGGGAAAAATTTAAGAATTACGTTTTGTGAAACCTTTCAAATAACACAAGATCCACCCTGAGACTTCTATACATATTTCTAGATCTTTCCCCTGCCCCCAGCCCAGATAGAAACTCAGCTATCACACTCTTAGGGTGCTTTGGAACAGAAAAAAGTTAGTGACTATTGTTATGGAGAATTTAGAAAAATCACAAAGGAAAATAATATGAATCTACTGCAATCTCAGTCTTGAAAATAATCGCTATGCATCTTTTTTCATTATTTGAATAAAATTTATTGATTTTTAATTATAAAACAACACATAGTCATTGCATTAAAATTAGAAAAGATATAAATGCATAAAGAAGGAAATGAAAATTCTGTCACCCATAAATAACCATAGTTGTTATAATTTTAGTATATATATATATATTTCTAAGGTTTCTACACAGTTATACTTTTTTTTACCATTGCAATCATAGTAGATCATGTAGTTTATACAGTTTTACAACCTGCCTTATTCACCTAACTGTTGTGACTTTTACTCATATTATTTAACATTCTTAAAAAACATTATTTTCAATGGCATCATAATATTCTGTCACATAGATGCACTGTCATTTATTCATCCAGTTTTCTATTGTTTAACGTGTAAGTTGTTTTCAGTTTTTGCTATTATAATGAATGCTCCAATGGGCATATTTATATATAAAATATTATGTAATTTTCTAATTATTTGCCCTGAAACAATTCCAAAAAGTAGAATTTTTTTCATGTTGATTTAAAAGTTTTCTGTTCTTAAAAATAGTATCAGATTCATTGTAACAAATTTCAAATTCACCATTATATTTATGGGATTTTTTTAATGAACAGAAATTAATAAATTTTATAAGTTTTTTTCATTGCTTTTAATGCTCAGATAGTTCTTTACTATCCTTAGGTCATATGCAGATTCATCCAATTGTTCCTTTAATTTTTTTTTTTTTTTATATTTTATTGTACTTTAGGTGAAGGCTTACAGAACAAATAGTTTCTCATGAAACAGTAGTACAC